TTATTAAGAGGATGCATCATATTGATAGATAATGCCTGCATAAGTTTCAAAGCCAACCCATGTGAGTTTTGAGTATTTGAGCTGACAAAAGAGCTACTTTGTTTTCTTTGGTTTGGCAATCTACGGTGACGGTCCGTATTATACCGGACGTGTCTGGTATTCATCCAAAGCAGCTTGTAAAATTGTTGTTCTCGGGTTGGTTCGTTACGGGAGTTCGGACGTAAGTCGGGAGTTCGACCGTCGGGGAGTTCTCGGCAAAGGTCGGGAGTTCACGGCGTCTGCAATTTAACCGAAATAGAGTATTCATCATGTTAGGGTCATACACCGACGTGTCCGATATGGACGCACCGTGAGGCCAACGGCTAATTTTCAAATGCCGTGAGGGTCGGGAGTTCGACATGAGTCGGGAGTTCGGACGGTCGAAATTCCGACATGTACGCCGGGAGTTCTGAAACACCTCACACACTTTAACCCGCTTACGATGTTTTCAAATGTGCCGAGGATCGCGGGAGTTCCGGCGGTCGGAAGTTCCGGCATTCATCGGGAGTTTCGACGCCTCACAACTTCATCAGAACTTAGTTACTGTTGGTGCGATGTAAGTCATACCGGACGTGTCCGGTATTCATACCGGACATATCCGGTATTGCAACGGTTAGTTTTCCAAAGGGGCTATAAATACCCCTGCCTCTCCACCTTTGAAGGTCATTGATTCTCATGACATAGACACACGTTTTTGAGCCTCTGCCAACTCTCCCAACCCTCTCTTAGTGAGTGATTGATCAAACTTGCCAAATCAATTTGTAGGGTTAAGAGAGAATTTGAAAAGAGAGCAAGCCACCACTTGAGCACTTGTGCATATTGTCAATCTCGTGATTTGCATTTGTTACTCTTGGACTCTTCGGTCCTAAACGCTATGCATCATTGCCGGAGAGTAACCTAGAGATTGTGGTTGCTTCGAAGTTTAGGAATTAGGTCGATTCCGCGCTTCCGCTCGAATCATTTAGTGGAAAGAGAAAAGGAGTTGGAAAAGACTGGCTAGAGTGACCTTCGTGGTATCCTCTAGAATCTGACCTTCATTGGTCGCCACAAACCCCTCAACGGAGAGGACTCAAACGAGTCTCGACTTCGTAAAACAAATATCGTGTCTCAATTGCGATTTCATTTGATATTTCCAGTTGCTCCAGCTCTTGTGTAGGTTCTCTCGCGGTATACTGATATCTCTAGTAGGTACCTGCAGCTTGGTTTGAAGATAGAATTCAAAAGGAGCAAGTTCGGGGCTGATCTCGCGACCGAATCATCATACTGGGACATGTCCGGGTATTAGAGCTGTGCTAAAAATATTTATTCACAGTTCTAACTTTGTGTTGCAGGGTTGTAGCTTCTAGATACATTCTTTATACCTCGTATAATCTGTGGCTAACTTGTGAGGGGTGGTACTACTTTTTATTTGGAGTTTCCATTTTAGAAACTCCCTTTACTAATCAAGCTCGCATTTAAAGGTGCTAATTTTCGTAAACGCCTATTCAGCCCCCACCCTCTAGGCGGCATCCTAGGTCCTTTCAAATTGGTAACGAAGGGCCCAATAGGAGAAGGCTTGACGATGGCCCAACCGGAGAAGGCTAGCGACAAAGGCCTGGCCGAAGAAGGCTTTGACTGAAGGCCCGCCATAGAAGGCTCCAGCGAAGGCCTGCCGGAGAAGGTCGACCGAAGCCTCAACACGCGAGGGGAGAGTGAGGCGGTGGCTAGGGTTTTCAGAAAAATAGTGGGAGAAGAGAGAGCCCCTTGTCCTCATGTTCTTGGCATTATATAGGCAAGCTTTAGAAATTACGAACCCTCTCTGGGGGGTGGTTTTACATACCACTCCAATAGCGCTAGTTAGGCCTCTTCTAGGGGACTTGGCCCATATGAATATGGCATGTCCCAACAAGATAGAATGGTCGTGGTGTTTAGAATTATAATATAATATATAGATATACGATATAGATATAGATGACCTAGTCAATCAAAAGTTAATGTTTCCTCAGTTCACAGGAGTACGTCGAGGGCAGTCAGTTATACATGACTATCTCCATCATTCTCAGTGGCATAATTTTCTTAAGAGAATTGACCTTCAATTAAAACCAAAAGCAATTTCTTCGTACCTACTTGAGATACAAACGATGAGATAGAATTGCTACCAAAACAATTAACTTATGGTTTCACAAACATTTTTTTTTTCTTTTTGAAAAGGACAAGCCATGAATGTTGACAGCCGACATGCAGTGTCCAGTTCATTCTTAGTTTGATAGGGAGCAAGTTCCAATGACCGACGGGTACGGGCATCCTTAGTTATATTTTGTTGCCAATGTGGTCCTACTAATTGTGAGGTGTGCAGTCTCTTCCTTTGTTTGCATGCATCCAATATATATCAAACACAGCAATTCAGTACTAGCTACTAAGGCAACCACCATTCAGTTTTCTAACTCTCACACACAGAGAGATCCATACAAGAGAGCAGATTTCGACATATGGAGGCGATTACATCTGCTGCTACTGACGACCTAATTAGCCGCGCCATCTCCTTTCTGGTTGACAAGTTGACAAATCGAGAATGCATGGAGGACAAGTTGCAAAGGCTGCAGCTTCTCCTGCTGAGAGTGCGCACGGTCATCGAAGAAGCCGATGCGCGATGTATCACAAACTCTGGTATGCTGATGCAGCTCAAGCAGCTTTCAGAGAGCATGTACCGAGGGTACTATGTGCTGGAAAACTTCAAGTATAGGCCTGTAATTGAGAGTGATGAACAGAAGGTGAGTAGCTCCTGTACACTTGTGTCGTCCATTATTGAGCTTCTATAGAACGTTTTTCGTATGAGTAACAGTACTACTAGTAGGAGCTCTACTGCTGATGATGTCGTCGGTGCTTTGCGGAGCTTGGAAACTATGGTAGATACAATGAAAGAGTTCGTCATACTGATAGGGGGCTGTGAACGTGTGTGCCGCAATCCCTACGACACATATCTTTATATCGATAACTTCATGTTCGGTCGCCATGTGGAAAAGCAGCAAGTTATCAATACACTGCTGCAGAAAAATCTCAATAATCAGGGTGCTCCAGCCATTCTTGCAATCATCGGCGGTCATAAGGTTGGCAAAAGAACTCTTGTTTCACATGTGTGCAATACTGACAAGATTCGGAGCCATTTCTCTTCGATGTTGCATATTTCTGGGCACGTCATAAGCAGTATAGAACATGACAAGTTCCCATGCGTGAGGACTCTGGTCGTGATCGAATTTACTTCAGACGTCAGTGACGATGATTGGATGAAGTTCTATTCTTGTGCGTCACGCATGGGTGAAGGAAGCAAAGTGGTAGTCATAAGTAGGTTTGAAAAGATTGCAAGATTTGCTACCGTAAAGCCAATCTATCTGAAATCGTTGTCACAAGAAGAGTTTAGCTATCTCTTCAAGGTATTGGCATTTGGAAGCACAAATCCAGAGGACAACCCACAGTTATCATCCATAGGAAATGAGTTGGCAACACTGATGCAGAGATCGTTCATCATGGGAAACATTCTGGCTGATGTAATGAGAAAGAATCTGAATACTCAATTCTGGTTCCATGTGTTAAAAAGGTACAAATGGACCTTAGAGAACAATATGTTGTTGTTTGGTGACCATCCAAGAAGAATTTGCTTGGAAGATCGTCCAATAGACATCACAAAATTGATCTATCACCCGGCTCCATTTCGCACCTTGCCTCCTCACACGTAGAAGGTGATGCTTCTGCAACTCAACTTCCTAGGGTCAGTTTTGGTGACTTAATAGTAGGCTCAGCTTCTCCTCCAAAGAAGATGTTCGAGCTCATGACATGGGAATCACGGCTGCCCCCTCATTCAAAGATAGTCCGGATCTGTGTTGAAGACAAGACTCAAGATGCTGCCCAATCGAACAAGAAGCAGCGTCGAGGAGTAGCTATATAATTGACAGCACGAACTACATATAGTTTATGTGGCACCGTGAAATTATTTTGGGCAATGCTACGGTACCCCCTTACTTCCTAGGAGGTAATATCTCAAATAAATCTGAGCCATTAATTTTTATATTTTTAAATCAATTAATTAATTAAAAAGGAAAATATTCTCAAATCCCTCTAATCATGCGAGACATGGGTTGGCATGCAGCCCCTTGTTCTTGAGCATTGCTGCACCTTTCTTTTGTGCAATTGTCGTCACGTCCTTTTTTTTTTGACATGGCTAAACTAAAATGGCAACTATCACTCTCATCTCATGATGTGAATAAACCTAATCACATTATAAGGTTAAAATTGTACACCAATAATAATAATAGGGTACCATAAATAAATTTTAAGCGGGTTCATCATGTATAAAGCTTGATGGTATTTTACGTTAAAATTAAAACCAGTCATATTATATTGCATACGTACACTACATAGAGTTTCATATACGTGCATGTAAGTTGGTGTATCACGCACGTTATGTTGCGTTCCTAAGTAACAAGTGCATAAAAATAATTAGTTTATTCTATATAAATTATATTATATCCAAAGTTGGAAAAATAAAAAGATTGATCATATCTAATAGATCATGCATGCATCAATTAGATTTAAAAAAGATATTTATATCTAAAACTTTACTTATTTAATCTATTACCTCATAGGAAGTAATAGATGATTCTAGCCCTATGATCTAATCAAATGAACGGCTCACAGTCATTTGAGGATACCACAAAGAAAGCCCAATTATTTTCTACTAAATGTTTAGCTAATGATCTGTCAGTTCTCTAGCTTTCAGCTTTGCTTGCGCTGTCATATAAGTTTATGTTAAAACCTTAGTTGTTCTAAAACATCACATATTTACAAAACAAATAAAGGAAGTATATGTTATAATTTGCTTCCATCTCCTTTCTGGTTGACAAGTTGACAAATCGAGAATGCATGGAGGACAAGTTGCAGAGGCTGCAGCTCCTCCTGAGCATGTATCAAGGGTACTATGTGCTGGAGAACTTCAAGTATAGGCCTATAATGGAGAGTGATGAACAGAAGGTGAGTAGCTCCTGCACACTTGTGTCATTCATTATTGGAGCTTCTATAAAACGTTTTTGTATGGGAGCTCTACTGATGATCATGTCGACGGTACTTTGCGGAGCTTGGAAACTATGGTAGATACAATGAAATAGTTCGTCATACTGATAGGGGGCTTTGAACGTGTGCGCCACAATCCCTACTGAAAGTTTGCATGAGTTCTATTGATCGGTGTGTGAAGAATACATATATAAGTGTCTCCATATCATACGGACTAGGAGAGCTATGGGAAGAAGCCACCGCATGGCTATATACAGGGATCTGGACGCGGTCACCACCACACACACCTATGACGGGTTGGCCGGCTAAATAGGCCACGCTCAAGACCCAGCACAATCACACATGATAGTGCAATCAAACTCTAACACACACACACACACCTCCCCTAGCAGTCGAATCGCCGGTGGAATAGACGTTGAGAGGGGTCAGAACTTCGTAAAGACTAACGAAGGCAGCGACGAACGGAGACGTCGCATTCTGGCGGCTGGCGACCGCTCGATACTCAGCCTCCGCACGTGAGCGGAAACCGTATTCTGACGCTTGGACGACTATGAGACCAGATTGTCACCGAGGAACACCGTATATCCGGAGGTTATTGACGGGTGTCAGGACAACCAGTCCAATCAGCATCAGAGTAAATGACAAGGGCTTGTTTGTTTCCGCTTAAAATCCGATTCTGGACAGAAAAATCAAAATCCTACCCAAACACCTTAGATTATTTCTTGTCTTTTGGACCACGTTGGTAGAAGTAATCGGCCTTTCAACGCAGCCCCGCGTTCCCTGTACCGCGACACTTCCCCGCGTTTCTTGCACCGGGGCCTTTTTCCATCACTTGCCTCTCGCTCGCTCGTCTCCCCAGCTCTGCGTGCGTGGGCGCGGCGCCGGAGGACAGAATGGCCTGGACGACCGTATTTTCTTTTCTTTTCCCCTGACGCGTCTTGTCCATTGTATGCAATAGTGAAACATTCGGAGAGCAATCAAATACAAAGGACAAGGCTATGGCGCGACGGGTCACGCAGATGGGAAGCATAGCTGCGCATATTCCATCAATCCCCAGTTAACCGTCACAGTTGGTTTTCGTCAAAAGTTTGACTCGCGCAACATTTATATCTCTAAATAAATTTATTAAAAATTAGATTCAAATATCTATCTAATGATATTATTTATGTATTATAAATATTAATAGTTTTATATAAATTTAGTCAAAGTTGTTTCTCTCAAAAAGCTTAAAATGGTACATATTTCGGGACGGGGAGTATATAAAAGAAGAAAAGGTAAACAAGTCTGCCATGCTCAATTTTTTTTAAGACAAAAGCATAGTTGCAGCAGGAACCGAACTACAGTTGTTCATGACCTGACTGCTCTAAGATGTAGGACGCTCCATATGCTAAACAAGTGTATCCACCATGCTAAAGAGTTAAGAGTAGTAGCCTAGTAGGATAAGAATGGCTTCATTTGCCAGTTCTAATTCTAATCGCACACACAGCCTTCCATAGAATGGATTGCTCTTTAGCATGGTCCAGCGGCAGCCACCGCACGCCGGCACTGGAATAATGCAGCTCACCAACAGATAAGGCTATTTGCTCTTCCAGACATAATACTGAAACAAAGACCTCCGCTGGCAACAAGCAAGCATCAAGCCTGGAAAGAGTTCGAAATAAGGAATGTCAGCAACACCCAATACATACACCATATAAACAAATACACAATATAAACCTGCATGTTCAAAAAAGGGGGGAAATGCAAACTTCGGTACAAAATAAGCCTATTCAGACATTAAAAAGCCAACATATATAGAAACCTTTGGGAGCTGTTAACTTTTCCCTGTGACCAAGAATGCTATGGCATAATCCACTACTTGGCATGGATAAGATGTGTTCAAATAGATGATTACATCCCTTATCAAGAAAAAAATGATTAAATACTCCTGCAGACATTATTTGCATTTCTGATTTTATACCAAATTTCAAAAAGTAAAGGTTGCTTATATACCAAATTTCTGATTTTATACCAAAAGAGCGGTGCACCACAATTAAATTGACAATGTATCTGACTTAATGCTTCACATTGTCTTCTGAATATTGAGCGAAATGCAACAAAGCACACCAAGGACGGTTTGGTAGTAGAAGCTAAAATGTATATGCAATCATGATAATTTAAGAAACATTTGCATCTAAATACCAACTTCTAGCAAATACTAATTGACATGTAAAAGTTATAAAATGAACACCAACTATAAATCCCTGCAGATTATAATATATTTATAAAAGTACAGAGATTTTTATCATATTTATAGACAGAATATATTATACACAGGGACTTGTAGGTTTCTACTTTTACACTGAATATGTACCTTTTACCAAGATTGTTAATATAGCATTAAAAAATCCAAAATGCCACAGGAACTAACCACCTATTTGGGGTAATGGCCTACTGATTGGATTGGCCTGACAAGACAATCCATGGAATCTGATTGAAGTTTATCCAAACCAAACAACATCTAACCTCTAATGAATAGTTACATATTTTACAAACAATTGAACCAAATTATACAAAATGGTAGACACACAGACTTACTCCAAACCGTGTTTCTTGCTTTATCAACCATTTTGGCTCAGTTGCTCCAGAATACATGAGTCCTTTATTCCTACAAGGACACAAAGTATTTATATCAGTTTGGAATTTTAAGATAGAAAATTTTAGCAGTGTCAGTTTACCATGGATCAAACAATGTGACAACCACATTGACTCCTTGAAACAGTAAATAATCTATGAACAAGAAACAAAAAGGCAAACTTAGCTGGAAAACAGACTTACCAATATCTACGATAGCAACAAGTAAATATATGATGAGTGAACTCATGGGGGCTTGGTGGCAGCATCTCTACAATGTCTCCATCACTGGCTGGAGTCCACATGCCAGTACCCAGGCTGTACTGCTCAAAAACGTATTCTCCAGCATTCGGACCGGACTGGGAATTATGTATGCAGATGACAGAATTAGGTGAAACGGAGGGCAGCCATTTGTTTGGTGAGAGTAAAACACAGAGACAGCGTTCCCCTAGAACCAAGGCGTAGTTTCCAATGCTCGTTATAGGCACAAACCTTCCGATGACAAGGTCAGCGAGTCTGTACACTGCTAGATCTATGCAAGACTCATCGTTGTAAGCAACAAGCAATGTCTCTGAGCCACACTCTACAAGGTTGAAAATAATGCTGAATCTGTCCAATGGGCATTCGGAAATCTTCATCAGCAACGGGAAATGAGGAAATCCATCAGCTGCAGTGGTGCACGGTGGATCAACCCGGTAGATGTGTACCTTGTGACTCTGATAAGCGTACTCCACCATATAGATCTTACCACTGGAAGACAAGAGACTTTTTTCGAAAGATCGGAAGACAAGAGACTCGTGAAAGGTTCCCAGAGAGTCCACCGCTGGTCACCGTCGGTGGCATAGGCCACACGGTCCAGGTCAGTAAAGGCGAGCATGACAGTGACGGTGCCTCGGGAGCTGACGGAAACCGAGGCGTAGGGGTTCATGGTTAAGCTGCGGTTGTAGAATCGAAGGGTCTCCATCTGTGGCAGGAGGGACGCCAGCGGCGGGAGATCGACGATCTCGCCAGTGAAAGGGTGGAGGAGGCGCATGGCGGTGTCACGGTCGCCGTGCAGGAGGAGGAGGCCGTCGACCGAGTCGAGTATGACGTGGTCATCCAGGAGCGGGAGGTGGGCACGGACGAAGGCGCCGGTGGAGAGGTTGAGGAAGCGCACGAAGCCGCGGAGGTCGCGGTGGCCGGGGTAGAGGCCGTGGCCCTCGGGGAGCATCATCCAGCGGCGCGGGTGGAAGCGTGGGTCGCGGATGTGAGGGCGGACGGTGCTCGCGCTCCAGTGCGAGCATACGGCGCGGAACCGGACGTAGTCCTGCAGGTCGCCGGCCAGCACACTCCACCCGATGAGCTCCACTAGATCTGGGGCGAGGACGCCCAATCCCGAATTGGTGGCATGTTGCCGGCAAGAAGAGAGAGGCACGAGCGCGGCGGGCACGTACGGCTGGGGGCGCCAGCAGCGAGAGGCGCGCGGGAAGGCGAGGCGCGGACGGCGCGCGGGCAGCAGCCGGTGGACGGACGCGAGGCGAGAGAATGTCCGGGGAAGAAGATGGAGGCCATTCAACGACTGAAGAAGGATTCGAGCTGGACTTACCTCGGCCCATGACGACCAGCAATAACGAGTGAAAGAAGGATTCGAGCTGGGCTTTGCCTCGGCCCATGACTACCCGCAATGTGGAGTACAAAGGATGCAGAAGAAGAGTGGCCAATCTAGAAGCTGTGGTATTGTGATTTCGACTTAGGAGATCGATTTGATTGGGTTTCGTGACAAGTTCACTAGAAAACATAGGGCTGCCGCGCCATTTTTACGATGACTAGTCGTGTTGTAATTTTGTGTTTCCATGATCTAACCTTCTGTAGCACATAAGGTAGTGAAATACTACCAAGGAAAATTAAATGACCATAACCTAGCTTTTTAGTTGAGCAATATGAGATAATTACAATGCAATGAGCCCTAATATTCTGCAAAGGGAAGATCAAAATGATCTCTGTCACTTAAGTGGGACTGCACTTTGCTTGAATATTCATTTGATAAGAAAAATTGCTTTTTGATACAGAACAAATATGCAAAAGTTTCTTTCTTCGCTCTTAGCACCTGCATCACTTTTGTGTCTCTAGCACCACCTCTATTTTTATTTCAGTTCAAAAAAAACCTTGATATATCTTGAATAGATGAGAGGTTATTTGGCCTAATGATTTGGTCTTTTTATTCAAGTGCAATTGAATTTGTGAAGAGAATTACATCTTAAATGATGAGTGCAGTAACGTTTAGCTCAGATAATATTGTCTCCCTTTATTTTTTTGTTACAAAATATTTAAAAACAGATTAACCATTAATTTTGGTGGTCACCAGATGAGAATGAGAGATGGGGAGTAAGATCAATTCACATGCAAATATATAAACACAAATCCTCTAGGTTTTCATGCTTTTAGAATATGGATAGTAGCATATGCTTAGCCTGGCACAAGCAAAGTTCTATTCTCGAGCCTGTCTTTCACCCTTCCTTTTTATATAATGCTGAACATAACTCTGCAAAACAATTTTCTTTTTTTGCGAAAGTTGCAAAACATTTTTCAATATATAGATATGGAATATTATGCTAATTTTTCAACACACCTCTAAGTAAATTGACACATAAAAGGGTTACGGTTATTATAGAAAGTGCATAACCCTGGTCCGAGGAGATGGAACCTCCCCTCCGTCCCACCTGCCTGGGCGCCATAACCGCCTCCACCAGCCCCACGTTGGCCCTCATTCCGAGCCCGGTGGCCACCTCTCCCACCTCTCTACCGGCGTCTAGGCCTTCCCCCGTGACAGCTTCTGGACGTAGCAAGGCCCAGCGTTGGGGTCGTGAAACTCCTCCTTCCGGGAAGTCAGGCGGTGGCACCCCGTCCCTTTCCTTCAAGGAGGTGCTCCTGGCGGCGATCCCCGCTGCTCTGGCGGGTTCGGCCTCGGTCCCGCCTGTGATTCCGCCGCGCTGCACCTCTCCTAGAATCCTGCTGCGTTTGGTCGATTCCCGTCCGTCGCCCCCCAAGCGTGGTCCGGACTCTGAAGGCTGGCAGGAGGCAGAACGCCGCCGTTCCCGCAAGGCTCGTCTACGTGCGGAACAGGGACCTCGTCGCCAGGTTCCTATGGACCTCCGTGGGTTGTGCTTCAACTGCTTCTCGCCGGACCATCGTGCGGCCGCCTGCAACAACAGGACTCGCTGTTTCAAGTGCCGCCGGTTGGGTCATCGGGCTTTTTGGTGTCCCAATTTTGGCATGGCTGCTCGCCCTGCGCCAGCATCTCGACCTCCGGTGATCAACCAGCCGTGCACGGCTGTCTGGCGTCGAAAGGACATCAGCTCTACCTTTGCCGGCGGGAGTGATGGGATCGGTGGCGGCGCCGCTTTGATTCCTCCTCCTGCTGGTGGGATTATGGCCAGGGATTCTCCGGATACTGCCTGCAGTAATGGAAGGGATGGAACCCAAGAGACTGGTGGCCGACGACATCATCGACGGGTCAGGCGGCGGCGCTCTTCTACGCTGGGGGAGGGCGGTCTCCCCCTACCTGCAGGCACCGATCACCCTCCTGCGGTGGTTCCAGCTGATGGTGCTTTGGGGGTTGCCGGCGCTGGCGCTGCCACACGGCCTAGGCAAATTATCGATCGCTCAGAAAGAATGGATAGAGCTGAGGAGGAGCTTCGTTGTGCCCTTTCGGTGTTGATGGTCGGTGATCACGCACCTACCCCGGTTGAAGGTCTAGTGGCTGAGCTTGCTCGCCGCTATGATCTCCCGGGTGGCTCGATGGTGCTTCATCGCCTGCGGCCTAATGAGCTCCTACTGGTTTTCTCGTCTAAAGATGATGCTGCTCGCGTCTACAATGAAGGGCGGCCTATCCACCTACCGCTGATCATGCTACATTGCTGGCGTTGGTCTTAGTTCAAGAATGCTACTGGTGTCACCCTGCCCCAGCTCGTCGATGTCGAGATACGCGGCGTCCCAGCTCATGTGTGGGAGTTGGAGACGACGGAACATCTCCTGGATGAGTGGTGTTGGATCAGTGCTCTACACCCTGACACGATTGATCACCGGGATTACTCTACCTTCCGACTTTCTGCATGGTGTTTGCAACCTGAGAAGATTCCGACCGCCATGGAGCTTGTTGTTGTGGAACCGCCAGCTCTGATTGTTGAAGACCCTTCGCTAAAGCATGCTCTGTCCTATGATGTTATGATTACGGTGGCGCCGGTTGCTGGGCGTGTGTCGGGCGTGGGTGCGCCTCCGGCTCCGCCTCCGGCCGGGCATGGTGAAGGTCGTCGCCGACGACGAGACTCTCGATCTCCGGGGTCCTCTCCACAAAGCTCAGGGAACGGATCCCCTTCCCGAGGCACTGCTCCTCGTTTCTTGCGACACACGGGCCCTGAGAGTGTTGGCTGTGGCACAGGAGTCTAGGAGGCGCTCGCCGGCGCTGCATGCTCGGTGCCCCAGGAGGCGGCAGCTGTGATTGCTCCTACTTCCCCATGCAACCAGTCAATTACCGAGGAAAACTTTGATGACTTGCTGGCCGTCGCCATTATTCCGTCCTCGGATGTTAAGGACGCGATCCTAGGGGATCCAAAGAAGGATGTGGACCGGTTGTTTGTTAACGAGCACCCCAAGCAACAGTCGCCTGGTGTTTCTGGAACAAATGGGCCGGCCTAGGTTGCTAATGTGGCCCCTCTGTTGGGCCCCAACTCAATGTCTCCGATGCATCTTGTTCCTCTGGATGATCCCGTTCTGATGACTGTTGGAGTCTCGCCGGCAGTCCGAAGCAGTCTGGATCATCAGATCAACTCCTTGGTGACTGCCTCCGGTGCAGCTCCTTCAATCAAGACCTACTTCCGTCGTGGCAAGAACACGCCCGCCTCAAAGCGACCTGATGCCAGCCCGATAGTGTGTAGAGGGCAAGACTTGTCTTCCACGGATGCCGTTGAGGCCTTCGCGCCTCCGCCGCCGGACCTCGTTCCGGTGCGTGTTGTAGGCGCAACGGTGCCTTCGCCCGTGGTCCATCAATTAGTCAGGGAGGTGTTCGCCCCAGCGAGTGTCATAGAGGTTACCTTGGCTCCACCACCGGCCCCTCTGTCTCGGCCAATGTGTGTTGCAGCCACGGTTACGCCTCCGCTCATTGCCCTTGTTCATGCTGAGTCAGATTCCCTAACTGTGATGAGAGATGGATCATCCTCTAAAGCACTGCCTACTCATGCTGCTCCTGCCGCCACACCAATTGTAACCTCGGCTTTCATAGCTAAGGTTACCAAGCCGGTGGGGGTTGTGCTGCAGCGCCCCCCTCCTCCCAAGCCAAGGAAGAAAACATTGCCAGTGGATTTCGTTCCCAGAAGAAGCAAAAGGGTGGCCAAACTACCGCCAGTTTCTGATCACAAGTCTGCAACAATAGTTTGCAGATAGTTACAGTTTAAAAATGGGGAGGACAATGTACATACTGGTAATGAAGGCATTTCTGAAGAAGCGATGGGACAGTATGTCAAGATGTTTGAAGAAACCTTGAGTCATGATCATGTGAAGGCTCTAGCAGCACTCTTTGGTTGGAATGCGCCTTCCTGTGATGAGGTGTGCTCCATAGCTAGCATCTCTGTGGTTTAGGGTGTTCCCTATTTTGGTGGTACTTTCTCTTTTCAATTATGGCTCCATGTAATGTCTTAATTTGGAATGTAAGAGGTCTTAATGATAAAGCGCATCGGGATGCCGTTCATCAGACTGTGCAGTCGTGCCAGCCGGCTTTGGTTTGTCTACAAGAAACGAAGCTTTCTCACATCTCAGTTCATGACGTGCTTTCTATTTTAGGACAGGCTTTTCAATCTTTTGTTTACCTCCCTGCCCAAGAAACTAGGGGAGGAATCCTGGTTGCCTGGAGAAATGAGGTTTTTACACCAGAGTGCCATCGTGTTCTTCGACATTCTATCTCAGTCAAGTTCAGAACATATGGAGAGAATGTATGGTGGTTTTCTAGGATTTATGGCCTCATTTGGATGCGGAGAAACCAACCTTTCTTGAAGAACTAAGGGAGGTGAGAAGTCACTGCAGCGGACCGTGGATGCTTGCCGGTGATTTTAACATGATCTACTCTGCTGAAGATAAAAACAATGACAATGTGAACAGGGCTTTAATGGGAAGGTTTCGCCGCTTTGTAAATGATATGGAACTTAAGGAAATTCCACTTCTGGGCCGAAGATATACATGGTCTAATGAGAGGGCTTCACCTACTCTGGTCAAGTTGGATAGGGTTCTTTGTACAGGAGATTGGGAAGACATCTATCTAGACTGTGTATTACAAAGTCATGCAACAGAGATGTCAGATCATTGCCCTCTAGTGCTCGGGCTTCAGGATAGTGTTAGAGGCAAAAGACGGTTCCATTTTGAAAATTTTTTGCCACAATTGCCAGGGTTTCTGGACACAGTTAGTAATTCTTGGGAAGAACCGGTGACAAATGCTAGCCCTCTTGAGCGCATCTCTATCAAGCTTAAAAGGTTGACATGGGCCTTGCAATCTTGGAGTACCAAGAAGGTGGGACACATAAAGTCACAGCTTGCTCTTGCTCATGAGGTGTTACATAGACTTGAAATGGCTCAAGACATGAGGCAGCTTTCCTCACAAGAGGAGTGGTTGCGAAGAGAATTGAAG